GCATTTGAAAGTATACTGGCTGGGGAATTCTGGGAGTTAAAGTCACGTTTCTTCAAGCATGCTGGCTGAGTAATTTGAAAAGTTGAAATCTACACACTTTAAAGCCTGCTGCCTGGGGAATTCTGGGAATTGGAGTCTATGCATTTTAAGCATGCTGCCTGGGGAATTCTGGGAGCTGAAGTCTATGCGTTTGAAAGCCTGCCACCTGGGGAATTCTGGGAGTATCAGTCCACCCATCTTAAAACATGCTGGCTGGGGAATTCTAAAAGTTGAAATCTACACACTTTTAAAGCCTGCAGTCTGGGGAATTCTGGGAGTTGAAGTCCTCACTTCTTCAGCCATGCTGGCTGGGAAATTCTAAAAGTTGAAAGTCCAGCCATCTTCAAGCCTGCTGGCTGGGGAATTATGGGAATTGAAGCCCACCATCTTCAAGCTGCCAAGGTTGAGAAAGACTTGAGGGGAGGCTGCTCACCGGTAGTGGAGCCGTTGTCCATCGGAGCCGTAGTCTCGGTAGAGTTCGTATTCCTTTTCAAAAACTCCAGGCGGCGAAGAGCTGTGGACGAGAGTCAAGAAAAGCCAAGGATGAAAAGCAAGAACAAAGAAACCACCTGGGAATTTCATGCATGCAACATGAAAATGCTCAGTTGTTGCAACAATTCAATAAGGACAAGATTCAGCAGTCTGCCTGCATTTCAAAGACAAAGGCCAATCTTTGCAAAACCTCCAAGTAGCCTCAACGACCCTCTAAAAGGATGCAAATGACCAGCTGTCTGCAAGGAGTATCAATCCTTCCATTTCCCACCATTGTTGTGGTTCGCCGGCAGCAGGTGGTGACGGCTAAGACCTCTGACAGCGAGGACTCGGACGAGGGGCCTGCGTGGGATGCAGGGATGGGGCCAGGACTTTCAGAGGAGTTGGGTGCTACCTTTGGAGGTCGTGGAGTCTGGCAGCAGTGAGGAAGAGTCCCCCGAGGAGCCTGTGCCCAATGGGCGTGCGCGCAGGGCTGCTCGAAGGAAAGAGCAGCTGAAGCAGCACGGGCGACTCGGGAGTAAGGCTGGAAGGTGATAGCCCCTCCCTTAAGAGATCATGGTGTCTCCCCCCTGCCAGGTAAGTGGAGCATGTCCTTTTATATTGCCCTATATATAACACAGGCAGATCTAAGTTACTGTCTCTCCTTGAAACAGACCCTTCTAGACCCAATGTTAGTCATTTGTTCTTATATTGTCGAGGGGATGGCTCCTCATACATCACTTCTCAGGTTTCCAAAAAATTTTTAAGAGCTGCAACCATCAGAGAACGCTGTAATTCCCCTTAGTTAAGTTTTTGGTGACCAATTGTTCATGATTAATTTTCCCATGTTCTTCTTTTGTTGTATTTGTGTTTTAGTCTGTGACCGCAAATAAAGTATTATTATTATTATTATTATTATTATTATTATTATTATTATTATTA